AAATTGAAACAAAAGGAATTTTTTAAAATTAAGTAAACAATCTATATTTATTTAATTACATTTGAAAAATGAAAGATTAGTTTACAAATTATATTTAATGAAAGAATTTTAAATTAATTAATGTATTAAAATGAAAAAAAAATATATAAGAATTTAGCATTATGGTCTGTTAACAAACCGACCAAATGGTCTGTTACCAAATTTGGCATGTTAACGGACCAAATGCAAATGGTCTGTTAACAAGCCAAATTTGGTCTGCTAACAGAAAGGCCGGATTAATTATTAAAAAAATGGGGCAGTCAGTTTTCTTGTGAAGAGAAAGTGGGGGTATTTTTGACTTTAATCTGTCTAAAGTTATACTTTTAAATTTTTTTTTTTTTTAACATATTTACCGGTCAAATGCCAGATATGAAATATGGCCTTTTCTTTCGGCCATTTGTAGGTACTTCATCTTTTCTATATATGGTTGTACGCATTTGGGGAGGAGGCAAATTGTAGAATTTGGTGATTTTCAATTGACAGTTGATTAATTCCTCTTCGTCTCCCTCTCATTTCTTCTACGATTTTTCTCATTTTACCCCTCCCCATTCTATTTTGTCTTAATTTGGTTATCATTTCAGTTGATTTCAGCTGGAAACCTCGATTTTCTCAGCTGCAGTTACGGTGAGGACCAAAGTTGAGTTCCAGACCGTGACAAATGGTATCTAAGACGGCGAATTTAAGTGGGCATGTGCTAGTTATGGATACAAGGGCCAAAGTTGTTGACGAAGATTTGAAGAAACTGTAGTTCGCGATAGTTGATTTGGGTACATTTACCAGCTGGTGGCCAAACTGGAATCAACAGATCAAACCCTCCGGGTATTTGGTCACATGCAAGAAAAAATTGAGAATACCTTATTAGATCTGAATCAAAAGTACGAGAAAATGATAACTATGTTGACACAAATATCCGTTGTTCTTAGAATAGAGCAGGAAAACAAAGTAATAGAAGGATCTATGGTGTTAACAGCAATGAGAATAGTGTTAACTAATATCAATGAGAATAGTGTTAATACCACGGGTGGACTTGAGGGAAATACCAAGCTCCCTATAATTAATTTCCCACAATTTGGGGGAGAAAGACCTAGAGAATGGCTTATGGAAGCCAGAAAATACTTCCAACTCCATCAGATTTCTGATGAACTGAGGCTAGGAATGGTTGAGAAGTACTTGAAGGGGAAGGCGGATATATATGGTTTTATGGATTCATTATCAATCACCCTGGAGAGGACTGGAGCTTGTTTTCTGATGAGTTTTGCATGAGGTTTTCAGAAACTATTGAGAAAGAAGTAATTGAATCATTTAGCAAGACAAGGCCTCTGGGAACAGTGGTAGAACATCAGGACAGTAAGGAGTCTGACCTTGAAAAGATATAAGGAGGTGAAGAAGTCATGGAGGCATCAATCGATGCTTTAGTTGAAAGTCTGAAGCACAAAACTATTACAATGCCTGGGATGATTAGAGGAAGAAGAGTGTCCATATTGATTGATAGTGGGAGAACCCACAATTTCATTGAGGAAAAACTTGCTAAGGAGTTGAAATATGCCATTGATGAAACTAACGAGGTTACAATGAAGGTAGCAAATGGGGAAAAACTAGAAAGTAAAGCCTTGGGTCACCCAGTGATGTGGAAGATTCAGGGATGGGAGTTTCAATTCAAACTCAGGACACTTAAGCTATCAGGGAGTGACATGGTACTACCATTATGTATTTGTAGCACAACCGTAAGTGATAGAATAATTTCCAAATCCAAACTGATCTTAAACAATTTTTCCATTTAGGTTTCTACATAATATTCCTAACTTGAAGGAGTAACAAGTAAGAATATTAAGTGAGTATAACGAATTACGTAACGATTTTCATACAAAAAAATCATTATGTGCACCACCATTATGTATATGTAGCACAACCGTAAGTGATAGAATAATATCATCACTGATTTACTTATCCAAGATCACAAGCGACAGTCTCAGCAAACACACCAGATTAAATAGCTCATTCAGAATAAATAAATAAATAAATCTGATAATGGTGAGAAGATCTTCACCGTTGGGACCAAGGGAAGTGCGGGTGATGGTAGACAGCTGTTTGCAAGTATCGATGTTTTTTAGCACTGCTTCGTCGAGGCCGGAGAGATGCCGGTGCCCTTCTTTCAGCATTCTGTGTATTCCATACGGCTGTATCGAGAACCCTACCATTTTCAGTTCAAATGCAAGGAGAGAGTTATCAAATTCCTTCAGAAAACGAGGACAAGAAGAGGGAAACCAGAGAAAAAGCCCTAGAAGTGTAGAACCCTTGTTGTCTTTCCCTCTTTCTATTATGCTTTTAGTAAGCCCTAGAATTTGAAACAATCCTATAATTCCTCCTGCGGTCCCCCAACCATTTCTCAATTGTGGCATTTATACCCCAACCATTCATTTATGATACTCATGTCCTTAATCTTTTAAGAGGTGTCATCGATGGATGGATTTTAAAAAAAATTCTAAATTCTAGTATTCTCCATTGGGGTAATTAGCACAAAACGTCCATATCTTTAACTGTTACTGTGCAAAATGTCCATACCTTTTATTTTTTGACATTTTCACCATTGATTACACATTTGATTGCGCAAAACATCATTCTGTCTATTTTCATCCAACTTTTTCCATTAAGTGAATACATATAGTCAATTTTTTTTAAATGGAAGGGCATTATCGTCTTCAAAATGTAGCAATAGTCCTTCCCCATTTGCCCCATCATCTTCGTTGTCAAGCTGCCTTTTATGTCGCCTATGACCCCGTGCCCACCTTGTCTATGTGCAATTCTTTCTTTTTTCTTTTATCAAAGTCTTGTTTCCTAATAACTTATCATTTTATCCTGGGTTGGTGATGTGTTATTACCTCTGTGGGTGAAGGTCGGTGCTAGAGAGTTCATCAAGAAACACGGGAAAGCACTGAAGTTTGATTATGTTTCAGAAAATCTGTATCATTGGATATAAATAGAAGGAAAGGTGAGTGTTCCCATTTTTCTGCCTGCACAATTTGGTATCATAATCATTGAGTTGTGGGTGGAGTATCAATTTTCCAAAATTTGTTAACTGAATAATCCTTTTTCTGTTCCTAAGTTCCAAAATGGTCTTAGTGACTGTATTTTGTTTCGATTTTCTCGGTTCCAAAATGGTCTTAACGACAGAAGCTTCAATCACTCCTCACCTTTTTGTCGTCGCCATCTGCCGTCGTCGCCCAACCCCATAACGACCCTCAACCATTTCACCTCAGAAGGAGCGCGAATCGCCTCGAGTTGCGTTGCTGCGCCGACGATGTTTTGTGTGGTGGCGATATTTGTAGTGGTGGATCTGATTATTTTTGTGGCAGTGGCTGTGGTGGTGGATCTGGCAGTTGGGGTAGTGTGGTGTTTTGTGTGGTGGTGGTTTTGTAGTGAAATTAGTGGTTTATTGGTGGTTGTGGTAGTGAGGAGGAGGTGGTGGTGGTTTTGGATATGGTGGTTCGGCACGCCGAAGGCGGTAGTGCTGTCGGAGGTCGCAAGTGTTGGTGGTGGTCACCAATTATTTGGTCGACTGTGACCATTAAATTTGTTAATTTGTGACCAATAAACAATATGCGATCAATGAAAAATTAATTTGTGACCATGAAATTATATGTAACCTAAAAAATTATTAATTTGTGATCGATAATTTAATAATTTGTAACTGACTAATAAATTGTGACTCATAATATTTATGATTTGTGACCTATAACCTATTAATTTTTTGATTTGTGACCTATGAAAATTTTAATTTGTGATCGTAAAATAATTTGTGACCTATAAATTTTTTTATTTGTGATAGAAAAATAATATGTGATCAATTAATTTGATAAAATGTGACCAACAAATAAGTTGTGACCCATACGTATGTATACATGACTATGAATTGTATAATTGTGATTTTAATATATTCAATTAATTAATAAATACCTGATTTTTTCAATTTTTAAACTTAAGACCTGAAAATTGAGTTTGTGATAGTTAAAACATGATACATGAATTCTTCCCTTAACTAAAATTGCAAAGAAGTCGAAATAAACTAGTAGCACTAAAACTTTAAAAGCAATTTTCGAGTCCTAAAAGTAGTTTATGCTGTGTATTTATTGTACAGCATACCGATGGACAGATATGATAAAGAGATCGGATCTATCTCTACATCTCGAATATCTGTGACAGGATATAGAACTTAATATCGATTTGATAATCCAGTCGATTCCAGAAAAATGAGTTTTTCATACATTACTTAACCATTTTAAATTAGATATCTTTTTCTTATTTTATATTTGATTGCAGAATACTACCATCTCCATCAACGGACAATGGTCAAGAAAAGGCCATGAGACTTGAATTTTTACGGGGATTATTATTTCCACTATTCTTGATATGACCAGCAGTTTGCATTCTTCGACCCTTAGGCCCTGTTTGATACGCCAAATTTTTCAAGGAATTAGGAAAATATTTTTCACTT